TAACTGCAACTCACATGAAGAAACTCTGGACACTGGAAGACTTCAGCATAGTATTCACAAACTGCTTGCTTCCTAAAAATGCAAAAGCTCTGTTTACATATATTATGAGGCACGTATATCCCATTGTATTTACAGTGTATTTCCATTTCAGAAGTATGTATACTTCTGGAATCCACGTATCAAAATAGGGTATAGATAATGATGGGTTGATTCTGAAATGTATATTCTTTGACATGCTTCTGTTTTTTGTCGCAACTACAAAATACATTAAAACTCATGGCACTAACGATAAGGGAGGTAGTACGTACATTGCTCCATCGCTTCTGTTAGTGTCTTTAGACCACACCTACTTAATTTTATGGATGACATCCGCACGCGCATTGATTTTCGCCTGTCACCCTTAAAAAAAAAGATCACCTCCACCGAGGCTTTGGCCTAGCTCTTAGGCCTGGGTAGTCCATGGTAGTTAGCGACAAAACGGAGCCGAGCGCCCAGGCTATCGAATTCGAATTCGAAGCTCCACGACTCAAGAACCCAGTACATAAGTACAGTACCGATTCATAAATGCCGCAAAAAGCCAGCATGTGCCGTCTTGTCGTATACGTCGCTAAGTACTGTCGCGAATTCACAATACCAGCTTTGTATTCCTGTGGTTTAGTAGCGTTTTTATTTTTGGCCGGAATTTTTTCATTCGCCCGCGCGCACTAGTTTGGGGGTCTTCAGAGGACGTCATCCATACAATTAAATCGGTGTGGCCTTACTATTAGCTGTCTTGTTCTTCACATTGTTTTTTTTTTCATCAACAAAAGACAAAGACCAATGACATTATAGCGTTTAACTCCAGTTACACATTTTTTAACGCAAAATACAACAAAACAAACAATATTATATACTGGCGTTATATGTATAGCCACCCCATTCAAGTATTCAATGTTTCAATTCACTAGTAGTTGCAATTTGAACTTAGTCTAGAATGGTAAAATTTGCAAAGCAAATGCACAATGTTTACCTTCACATGGTCTAGCTATAGCCCCAAGAAACTACAGCACTGTTTATTCTTACTCAAAGCCAAATACATTACGTATGATAAAGTTTCTCTGGTTCAGGTCTTTGACTTCAGCAAAGACAATATGTTTTCCTTCTACGAACTTCAAGGTAAACATAAGTAACTAAACAAGTACCTTTCTTCGGGGGACATCTCGCATACATCTCTGGCATGTCCGGCTAGGATGAACCCCGTGATTGCAGGATGGCTGCCGTCTGGTTTGGTGTCGTCTACACAGTAACTGACCGGTCCTATGTCAGATAATGCTTCTCCGGAAAAGCCTGTGATGCACAAAGGCAATTCAATTATTAAAGGGTAGGCATCAAACTCACCTCTACCGTCGAACGCCTTGTACACCAGCGACCTACGGCTTCTCACCTACTCCAAGTATCAGCAGACCACGACCTTGACATTAACAAGCAACTTCTAGATGCACTCCACATGTACATTGCATCTACCAAAAGATTTACTTCCAGCTGAGCCACTGTTTCTTTTTAACAGATATGTTTAGCCCTAGTGTTTATCGATTTAGTTTTAGTTACCCTAGTATTTCTTACATCTAATTTTTTATTGTAAATTGATCGACAATGTACTTATGTATTAACTAGAATTCCGAGATCTCATACCTCCATGGAATATGATCTTGATATGTAAATGTAAATTTCTTCTTTAATTGTGCAAATGACATCTGCATTAACATGATATATGCATCGTGATGTATGTTAACTTTTGATTAACTTACAGATGTCCCAAGTATGACATCATTCTCATCATTCACCATTACGAAATCATAGAATTTTCGCATTAATTATGCAAATTAGGTCACCATTTGCATAATTAGTATCTGTTGAAGTTCCGCCTGCCATAGGTTACATACATTACATGTATGTAAGTAGTATAATGTAACACTGTAATTATAGAATTTCCTCATTAATTATGCAAATAATGTCCTCATTTGCATAATTTGCATTTGATTATGTACATCTCTCTCTCAGCTACCTACACACCAAAATTAATGAAAATATGTTTTTCCTGTCCTGTCCAGAACAAGCCGCTAGGGGCCCAAACTCATATGACTTCTTTCCAAGCACGAGAGCTACCTTCCATCAAACTTTCATGACTCTAGCATGTCCAGATCGCGAGATATCAAAACGGAAGTTGCGCTGCAGTACCAAGGGAAGCCACTACGGGGACCAAAATCTAATCATTTCTAGTTTTGGTCACACCCTACAAACACACTAAGTACGAAACCAATCCATCCAGGCGTTCTTGAGTTATCTTGTTGACCAACAGACAGACGGACAGACGGACAGATAAACGCAACTGAAAATATAACCTCCATGACACATTTTATGGAGGTAATTATAACCTCCATGACACATTTAATGGAGGTAATAAATGCGTGTTTGTCTTGTATATTGCGGCAAACTAGACAGAGAAAGCTAGGTCCCGCAATTGTATATGTCGTAAAATTTAAACTGAAACTGAAACTGTTTATTCACATTGATTGGCAGCCAATATGCATTGCTTGGCTGAATTGCACAAGTGATTACATGATCGATGATGTATGTGTCTATTGTGTATATTTACCTTCGCCAAGAAGGTTATGTTTTCAGGGGCGTTCGTGTATGAGTGTGTGTGTGTGTGTGTGTGTGTGTGTGTGTGTGTGTCTGTCTGTCTGTAAACACGTTAACTTGAGAAGGCCTTGATGGATTGTCTTGATACTTGGTAGGTGGGTAGGTCTTGATGAGACCTCAAAATGATTAGATTTTGGACCCCCTAGCGGCTTGTTGTGGTACTGCAGCTGAACTTCCGGTTTTGATATCTCATGATCTAGACATGCTGGGGTGACGAAGTTTGGATGGTAGGTAGCTATTTTGCTGGGGAAGAAGTGACGTGAGTTTGGGCCCCCTAGTGGCTTGCTCTGGAACTGCAGGGATATATGCTTGAAAATATTCAAAAGTGGATAACTCAAGAACCGGTTGACGGATCGTCGTGATTTTTGGTATGTAGGTAGCTTACGTGATGCTTAATATAATTATGTGACAATTTTGCAAATATGGATGTAATTTGCATAATTTATGGGGAAATTCTATAAATCAGCTGCATTCCATGATAAGCTTGTGACATTGGTAATTGACGAGAGAAACACAGGCAGATATTGATTATGTTAATAATGACTTAATTTGCATAATTAATGAGAAAATTTTATAATTATGTAATGATAACTGCCTGGAATTTCATCCTTTTTGTATTTGAAAGTTAAATTGAGGTGAACATCATTAAACATAATATATTCAAATCAGGACCTCATTTGCATAATGTATTAGGAAATACTAGAATGCATTGTTTGTTATTATAAGACTGTCTTTTGGTTGAGATTATGATAAAATAATATAATTCATGAAAATTAGGTTCCTATTTGTTAATGTCGCAATATCAGCTATCAGGTGCCTGGCGGCAACATTGTATTGCCATGTTGCAATTCCAAATAAAATAAAAAATAAAAGGGTAGGCCCGACACATAGTCGAATGTGGTCGGCTGGTGTTCGGTGAGGTCGGTTACTGTTCGGCTGAGTCACAGTCGACAGTTTCAATATGTTTAAAACATACGGTCGTGGACAGAAGGTTCAGCCATGTTTGCCTGGTGGTCGGCTATTGTTTGGACGTAGGAGTACGGTAGGACAACAATGTTTGCGGGTTAAATGTGACACAAATTTTAGAGATAATACTATAACATACAATCAAAAATGCATGAAAATCACGCTGCAGTACCGTTTAAAAAAAGCCAATTAAACCATTTTGAACTTGACCTACGTTTCCACTACAGCACATGTACATGTAAGGATAATGGTAGAAATGATAAGTCATACTGCAACATCCTTGGTTAGTTGGTGGTAGGAGGAATGTCCTGAGTGTGTGACAGGGTTGTTTTTTTATCATGTGCTAATGTAAACAATAGCCTGGGTTGTAACACTCCTGGCTAATCATTGGTTTACAGCAAGGTTGCAAAGTTCTAGTTACATGCAGAAGTCCTGGTGGTGGAAAGAAGATGCCGGTGTACTCATGTTTTGAATGACTGGAGGTTGTTGTAAGTGATCCGGCCCACTACGTTGTCTGGAAGACTGTTCCAGATGTCAACTGCGGTATGTATGAAGGTTCTGCCGGTGGCGTGAGTTCTAGCTACCGGTACTGTGAGGGCATGTTTATCAGTAGAGAGACTGCTGCGGGTTGTGCGTCTGATTGTGTAAGGTTGGGGAAGCGATATTTTTCAGGTCTGGTGGGCATGTGGACAGGTGCATTTTTTTAAATTAGTCGAGACAGGGTTTAATTAAGATATACAAAACGATTTGTTGGGAATGTCATGCTGACCTTTCTCCTTCCAAAATGCCGTCCGGTAGTATGTGTTGGTTTTGATGATACATCCCATCGCCATCCTCTGCACCAACTACATCGGAACAAAAACAACATGTTTTCAACATTTTGGTGTTTTTTGTCAATTTAGCTAACCAGGATGCGACGTTTTAGAAAACATTTTCCTGTGATTTTTTAACAGTAGATTATTATTATAGAATTGTAGATGATACCATAATAGTAAACTACGGCAAGAGAAGACCATCATGGTTTACATTAAAAAAAGAGAATGAGGATCATCTAAACAAAATACATGAATAAACAAAGAAGATAAACAAATCACCTGTAATTTCATAGCTGGAAGAGGAGGCTCAAATAGAATTCTGTGCAGAACGGGCAGTGGCACAGAACTGATGACATATTTGGCCTGAAAAACGTTAAAGAGGTAAAGCTATGTTAGCCAAACCGCTCTGATCATTCAGGAAATCGTTACATACTTTCATACATGAAAGGGATATCCGCTACCTGAATGTCAGTCATTAAAGAAAGGTTGCTTAAACAATATTACATGATTTTGTTACATTTGTCAGAAACTTAACCAAGATTTGTCATCAAACACATAACAACAACGGCTTTTTCTGCTCCATCTCAAGACCACGCATAGGCGGACGGTTATTAATAATAGATCAGATACGTTTATTTTGAAATTGTAAAACACTGTAATAGTGTCCCCGCCCCTGAGACGTCGCCAAAAAGAAACAAGTATTTGTATTGTACTAAGATATGTGACACAAAATGACCTACCCTGTACTGTTGCCCGCTGTGGGTGGTTACTATGGCAACTGTATCCTCCTGGTCTATCCTCAAAACAGGACTAGACAGAACAACTCTGTCGCCTAGCAACGCCGCAATCTTCTCACTCACTTGCATGGCACCGCCCACAATTTTCCTCTCCTGTATTAATATAGGGTTAATGACCCGCGCTGAGGTGTACACGGTGTCATAATTCATGGTCGGTTCCTATAACCACGAATAAACAACCGAGTCTGCGAAAAAACGACCATGAATTATGACACTGCATACACAGAAGGAAAGCGGGTCATTAGAATTATTATCACATATACATTATCGTATATGTATGTATACGAGTATCAAACCAACACTCAAGGGGAAACAACTCCTGTGTAAGATGTAAATCTTTTGATCTTGCATTGAAGTCAATCCTCACCACAACAAGCCAATTATTTAAAGCTAAACGTTACAGGTACAAACGGAATTTACCGCTACATTTTACCGCTGAATTTCCTCAACTGTTTCTCGACCGCTATTGTTCAAATCCATCTCTGCGATTGCCCCAAACACTGCTTCTATTTCATCTGACGACAACCCGGCGAGCTCAAGGTGAAATTGCGGTTCTTTTCCATTTGTATGTTAGCAGCAAAAGCAACTTGACCACGGAGAGTCGAGCGGCCCAAATGGCGGCTGTTTTGAAAAGTATCGTCTTTCCTTCAGTCATTCATTCACTCACTCACTCACTCGTTCATTCATTCATTCATTTTACCTGCGCTCCATTAGTGGCGGAGGTAACCCGTCTTTCTCCCTCGCCCAGAAGCCATGTAAAACAGGTAATACAGTAAGGAGATCTCGTGGGCTTCGCAGCAGAATGTGGACTGCACCACACCTTGTATATCACTCCTGGCCATCCTGTAGTTGAAAGATCATAAAAAAGTAGATTAAAAACAAAATCAGAATTACATGTAAAGGAGCTGAAATCATCACCCTTTAAGTGATTTTTATGTTCACATTCGCAGAAGGAAAACATGGTTTTGCTCAATTTTTCCTTTTTTTTCCATCCCAAACAAAGTCAATGACCTGGACCAGACGTGTGTTACCATGGTAACTCTTGCTGTAGCAACACCCTGTGGTGTTAGGTTACATTATGTAGCAGAATAGAGTTTGAGGGCCTGCTCACCATACGTCCATTTATTGTAGTCAGAAGAAACAGCAACACAATTTTAGATTTTTGGACTTTGAGAGTAAGAATGAACAGCGCAGTAGTTTGTTGGGCTGACCATGTGAAGGTAAACAATATTTGCGTTGCAAGTGTTACCTTTCCAGTTACAAGTTACCTTGATTGATATAAGGAGAAATAGGCTTGATTATATAGAGATATCGTGGTGTATAAGAACTGACGTTTTAACGGTGCCTACCTTGTCCAGCACTCATTGTTGATGAACTCCTGAACTGTCATAATGTCCCACTCCTTAGCTCTTGGTGCATTCCATGGAGCAGCAAGGGGGACCTTGTATTGTTTAAGATTCATTGTTATAGTACAATGCTGAACTTCGTTACAAAGCGTACATGCCGGTGATAGATTTGAAGCTCCTTGGTACAAGGGTACACAAGTACATGTATCAAATTTTCAACCACCACTGTCGTCTTCAGCAGGATAAGAAATGACCAACCTTTTCCAAACGTAAACCCGCGAGAGTTACGGATACGTGACTTTAGTCACACGAGACTTTACGGATACGTCTGCAATTTGTCAAACGTGCCAGGTAGTTTATATCGTCCACCGTCTCTGTGAAGTAATGGCTGGATTGCCCGTAACTCTTTTGGGTTTTTAACACAGAAGTGGTAGATCATTTGATAAAGGCATCCAGATGAAGGCGACAGTATTCGATAAAAAATTGGAGCCTTGTGTTCGAATAAAGTTCAGCAATGTACTATTATTACTACAAACACAGATAAACTTCCATAATAATATTCATTACTAATCTATTCAATCTCTGTTGTTAATATTAGACTTTCAAGCATTAAACAACTACGGTAGAGAATACATGTGTATTAACTAATATGAAAATGATGACCTTATTTTGCATAATCAATAGGACATCCTTGTGATATGTCATTCTGAAAGGTTAACATTTAGTAATCTTAGGTAAGAACAGCATATCAAGAATCAAATCACTTAGTATATAAATTAAAGATATGTCCGAACCTGTTGAGCCAAGTTCTGCGTTTTCCGGAAAATGTTGTTGCTGTCTAACATACCGAGTGGGTTGTTCAACTGGGCTAGATACATTCCGGTGTCGCTTGTCGTTTGCCTTACTCCCTTGAGGAATACAAATTGTTGTTAATAACATTGACATCCGTGTTTTTAATATATATACAGATGGGTTTAATAAAAATAATAGTAATTTTTTATCATCGATTTTTCCAGCCTGCATGCTATGAAAGCCAACGACATTAGGAAGCTGGTGGAAACTATGCAGGATATTTTCTCCCTCTCTCGCACATTCTCTCCCTCCCTCCTCTCTCTTCCTCTCTCTCTTCCTCTCTCTCTCTCTCTCTCTCTCTCTCTCTCTCTCTCTCTCTCTCTCTCTATATATATATATATATATATATATATATATACATATATATATACACCAACCAACCTGGTTTTTGAACTCTGAGTTTTAACCAAAACTAAACAGATCTGATAACACTACTTAAAGCGTGCGCATGCGTAATGGGTCCTATTCGTCACTCGGCCTTTAGGCATACTTTAACCCTATTCAGACTGGGCTTTTGTGGGCATGCTCAGACCGGGGGGTGGGGGGCTTTGAGGCTCAACAACCACTTATCGTAGGGCCACCAATTTTTAGAGAATGATGTGGTAATGAAATTAAAAGAACAATTTTTGTGTACTTTTTACGTCATATGACGTCATTACGACGTCATTTATATGATTTTGGGGGGTAACGTCAATTTTTTTTTCCGTAAAACTTTTTATGGAATACAACCAAACTTTAACAAAAAGTGTCTATGATGGAATATTAATGTCTGCTTATACTTATGTTGCCCTTGGCAACCACACTGATGTCAAAATGACGTCATGCATAATTAAGCTGTCGGCCATCTTGGATCGAAAATCTTGAATTTTGAAAATTGCATTTTTTTCAAGATATTGCCTCAAAACGCAACTCAAATGGACTAAAGATGTTCATATGGACATTTTATGTGAAAAAAACACGGAATTGAGACGAAAAATTAGTGAAAAAAACATGGTTACACAACAGCTAATTATATGGTTCGCCATCTTGGATTTTGACCGATGACGTCATCAAATTAGCATAAATTATAAATATTGAATGATAGAAATTATATATAATTATATAAGATGTTATTAATGTTAAAAGGGAAGTTTAATTAAACATAAAACTTAGAAATTTTTTTTTATTTTTGAACCAAAATTACTGATTTTTCCAAAAACTGCCTGTCAGAACCCCGTTGCAAAAAAATCATGAACTCATAAAATTAATATAAGATTGTTCTCAGATATTTTTTAGGAAAAGCCAGCAAATTTGACGGTGTTAGCACAAGCCGTTTAGGCGCTATCTAAGATGAAAGTGGGCGCGGGCCTCAAAAGCCCCCCCCCCGGTCTGAATAGGGTTAAGGTGTGTTTAAGGATAGGATTTCGTGATTCTGGATCATGTCATGTACCTCAAAGTAGAGCACTGCTTTCTCCCCCATATCAACCACGTAGGTTTTCAAGTCCAGTTCTTTTGCCAGGCGTAGGATTCTGTCCTGTGTGGGTCCCACGTACGAACCTCCCAGATCAACATACCCATAACTAGGATCCTTGGGTGGGGAAACAACAAAATTTCAATTCAAAGGTTATTTATCAAACAGTGCAATTGGACCAATGAATCACATTCAATTTACGCCAAAAAGCAGTTACTCTGGATATGACTTTGGGAACTCTCCAAATTTTCCAAAAACAAATCCAATTCCTTAAGTAACTGCTTTTGGCGTATCGTATTACCTGGGTGTCTAACCTTCACCGACGCACATTCAATTTACAGTTGGATTTAAAAAAACAATTCGTTACAAAAGAACTTCATTTTATAGAATAAGACTTAGTAGCTCGTGTAAAACATTGCAATCTAATAAGTTGCAATGATTAAAACCGGTGCAACACTACCAGAATCCCTATTAGTGATGTCTCTCCTTTTCGACGTTTACAACCACTACTGAATAATCTGTGGTGTGTAGCAAAAACAGCCAATCAACGAATTCTTAGAGACTATTTTACTCGATTGAAAATACAAATAGTACATTTATAATAGCAAGAAAGTTTAAATCAACCTCATTGGCAATACATCCGTCACTAGTCACTTGTGAGAGCATTTTCTTTTTTATCACTTTCTTTCCAAATACTTCTTTCTTTCTTGCTGTTGGTTTCGTAGACGTAGATAATTAAACAATAGACCACACTGACCTCTTACGGTCGCCATTTTGAGTGTATTCACGCGAGAGAACATTCTTGGCGTGAACACGCGTGAGTTCACACCAAAGCGAGGCCGCTATCATTTTGGGCATGGAACACTTGTTCTACTCACCCTCTTCGTGTATGTCCTTCCGCCTACCCTGTCCCTGGCCTCCAGAACTCGGACATCCAAACCGGACTCCTGGAGAAGCTTTGCAGCACACAAGCCTAACAAATCATACGAACAAGAATTAGGAGATCTCACACCTCCATGAAATATATGAAATATATAAAGATTTCTGTAATGACGCAGCAAGTGAATTGGGGGCCGGGGAGGGGAGATCTTAGTAGTTGTATTTGAGGGGGTGTGAAAACATTGTACAACCCATTATTCTACTACAACTGCTAATTCCAATAAACAAAACTAGTTTTAATACATCTTACAACAGTATAATGCTATAACAGTATAAAAAAGACAATCCCTTAATAAACAATACAGTAACCCGAATCGCAAAATTCTTTGTATTTAAACAAAAAGAAAAAAATATATTATTTCATTTCATATCTAAAATCACATTCAGATCAGAACACATTATATTTTCTAGAAGAAACAAATTATAGCTACATTTTGGAAAATGGGGGGATATGATACATTCTATGTAGCACTTGTTTTTCTTGCAGTTTATTCGTGCCTGGTTTTAAATTACTCTTTTTAATTTTGGTACTACACTTTACTTTGTTCAACTTATTCATTTACCATTATTGTTTTGGTTTATTTATTTATATCTTACAAAATTGAATTTATTTGTATTGTCATAGTATTACGTATATATACATATATTATCCTTGGCTCCGTGTATCACTTCTGTATCTGTACCTGTTGTGTTTATTTCCTTGTTCTTTTCTCTATGTATGCATATGTACTGTTTACTGTAATGACTGATTTTTAACGATACTGATATGTTCACGGTTTTCACGGTCACTTCTGTACCGTGAACTCATCAAACCGCTAACACTCCGGCCCGAACAGCAATAAATTATTTACGACTTATGTTTTTCATGTAACGATGTTACGTATATTTGATAACAAATGCGCTACTGTTTAGCCTGACTAATCGCGCTCCTGGCGGCCGGACGCCCCGAAGTTGCCGCCCCCCTTGGGGTGGGGGTCATTAACCTTCGGCCGAAAGCTTGACATGTGTATTCACACAGGCTACGCTACTGATGAGTGTCAAAATTATTATAATGCTATAACTGACATTAGAAATCATATTATGAGCCACCGAATCGCGTGTCAAGCCGTGTTCAACTGCGTACAAAAATCTTAGCATTACACAACATGGCACGGCTGTGCATGAGCCATGATGAGGTCGCTTTAATATCCCGATAAAATGCGGCCACATCCACGAATTAATATTTGATCAAAACCTAAATTGCTGGGATCTAAAATGTTACTGGGCTCTCCTTAGCGGGAGTTGTTTATTGTTTTGATTGGTAAAACGCAGGGTAAATACGCTAGAAATTTAGCGTGGGTACACAAAAACCCACGCCGAGGTCCGTACTTCCGGGTAAAGTGCACACCAAAATCACGTCGAAAACGCCAAAAATCCGCATAGAAATATATATTTTCCCGAAAGATTCTCGGAAATCTGCATTTCTTTTATAGAATATCGATGTGTGGTTGTTGAAAAGAGCGTTTAAGCGCTTATATCCAAACAAAGAAAAGTTGTTTACACGCGCCTCAGCTAGCTCAATTCTACCGCCGCCAGCGCCGGCGGCGGACGCAACAACCAATCAGAGAGGTGTGCAATTAGCGCAAAGAAATGCAAAGTAGAGAAGGGGCAATGGGAGGTGAAGCCAGAGCAATTATCACCCACCCATTGCATATTTATGACCTTTCCACCAGCACCTTTGCTCATTTCAAAGTCATCATAATATCATAATGACTACTTCGCTGGGGCTATGTTGGTCAACTTTTAGACTACTGGAGCAGACGAAACCCCTCCATAACGAAAAATAGCTGGAGGGTTTTAACTAAATGGCTGTTAATGGTTCCTCATACCTATCTGACCTACAAAGTATGAGCCGATTTGGCTGACCGCCATCTTCCCACCTCCGCCTGGTTTTCTCGTGCAAGGACTTAAAATGCAATAAAAAACCGCATTCTCCTTTTAGCGAACGCCCACGAACGCCCAGGAATCGTCGCACGAATCTTATTTTTTTGCGTTCCCGACCGAAAACGGTCGCAAACGCAATGTTGTGGGATCGAAGGCTGGGCACTTCAACGGTTCAACGAACGGTTCAACGGGTGGACGGACCATGCATGACAAAGCATTGCTGCTATTCCTACAGTCCTTTTGTGGTCCCATATGCTTGAATCGCTAAAAATGTGCTACAATAATATAAAAAGCTCACACGACAATAAGTCTAACAAAGGTATACATTTTACAATATGATTTCACGTGAAAATGTCGCTGACGCCAGTCATTAACTGACAAAAAAAACACGCACTGTTCGTCTATCCATATATTATGTTAATTACCTGCAGCACCGCCTATGCTCGCCAGGGGACATAATGTGTTAGTATGTGTGAGCGCAAGAAACCGCCTTGGTGTGCGTAATCGCGGATATATCCGGGATCGCTGACCCGCAGTACATGCCCTGTGTGCGGGTCCGGATAACTGTACATGTACAGTATTCGGAATGGCGGTATTCCCGGGACGAAAACATAGCGGCGCTGCAGCGCGACCGGTCAGTCAAACCCTGAAGTCAGTCAAAGACTGTGGAAAAGGCCAGAGGTCCAATAGCATTACATCATCACAATTCCTTGCAGCGTGTCGTGTGCCGAGCTTTCTATTTGTTTTTAGGGTCTTTTCGGCGATAAAGTTCTGATTTTAGTCGCGAAATGTCCGGATTTACGCTGAAATACGTGCTTGGGGACCTTGATAGTTTTAATTTTAGGGAAATTTATCCTTCCCTCGGCGAGGATTCTCCAGAAAGTACCGACGTTGTGGGGAGCACACGGAACAAAATTATCGTCCTGATGGGAATTTTTACTTAGTACGTAGGAGTTTGAGAACTTGGTATCCGCCGCGGAGTCGACAGTGGTCCGCGATTTTGCAAACGAGGTAGACGTAGGAGGCGAGAAGTATGATGCACCTTATTTCAGAGCTCCATAAAGGAGAATACCGTCCTTGTAATATATTAGCGTTTCAGCTAAATAGTCAGTTCAGAACCCAGGGCAGTCTGTAGTCATAAAATTCCCCAGTAGTAATACGGTCTCCATTCCTTTTATTCGATGAAAGTATTTCTATGTTGTCAGAATTTGCCAGGAACTGTATATTCCAAGTGGACGTGATTTTGTGTGTACTTGAGTGAATTGTATTGAAACCATTGTGGAAAATTTGTATTTCATTAAAATAAAATCTAAACTAAACTACCTACATGCCAATAGTAAAAATCCCTTCATACTAACACACAAAATGTATATGTGTATGTAGGGGAGCTAGATTTCAATCAAAGGTCATATCATCACTTCAAAGAAAAAGCACATTTGCTGCATACGATTTTGTTGTGCAAAAATACCACACCAGCAAACGCCTGCTTTTTTAAAAGCACTTGTTTGTGTGGTCATGTCCAGTGTGTGCTCCCGCATGTTCATACCAAGTTTAAAGCGAATCCATCGAGCCGAACTTAAACAAGAAGCCATAGGTTACAATCCTCCATGAAGATTTGTATATTTCAACAAAAACAATCCCAAGGGTCAACGCCAGACCTACTGTGCAGACATTATAATTAGGCAACGGTTAATACAATGAGGGCGCGTCACAAGCATAAAACATAAAAAGACCTAAATCCATTACTGCTCCCAGGGCGTGTAAAGATACTGTGCTTCAAGTTTGAAGTTCATTTTGATTACTCACACACAATCATTGCATTCACATAAAGATCGGACTATCATGGTCGTGTCACTATTAACGAAGACACCGTCTTACCGTGCCTGTTACTTATTAAGCGCGACTGGAACAGGCCAAATTCCAGCGACAGTCGCGGCTAGCACCGCGAGTGTTACTTCCGCCGGTCAGATACCCGGGATATCTACTTGGAGAACCTCTGCTACCAGACAACTGCCTAAACCTACGACCTATTCCACAGGATTGTAAAAGTAGGGATGTTTCTAAAATATGCATTTACTCCAATATCAAAACAGCTATGGTAAAAATAAAAAGACGTGCATCATCCCGGACATAATGCAACACCACATGCCAAATTACACAGAAATGCGACGTACGGAAGAATGCGTTTTGGCTGCGAACATCTTCCAAAAAACTTGCCATCTCTTAACCATGGGCAAAAACATCTGGAACCACTTATCAAAACCACCCCGTATCTGCATGAAGTTCCACCACCCCCCACTGCTATTCCAAACCGCGTTTTTCTGGACCATTCCAATTCGACTCGTAATTGTAGGGGTGCGTCTGCAATATTACATTGACCGCGAAAGCAGCAACGGCAAAGATACACATTCGTGCATCAACACGGGCATGCCCGCAGACGGCGTATAAAATTGCGTGCCGATTACACAAAGAGAAACCAGTGTTTTGACTGCGAACATGAAAAATCAGCCGTTCACAACACTCCGTCCGGAGGTCCTGACCTCCTTCACGGAGTAATAAATCGAAATTTACTGGTTTTTTCTCTTCTTAGCGAACACCCACTTTACTTCCGGGTTCGCAGCGAACGGCTTACGCCCACTACTCCTTGCAAAATATCGGCCCTCGCGCACGCCGGCAAAATCCACCATCACAAACATGTTCATATAGGACACCCCTGAATTTCTGAGAAGTGTCCGTGCTTTACAAGCGTTTAAAGTGCTCATTTATCGGCAAAATATGCGCTGCGCGACCCCGCCGCCTCGGCGTATACATTCCACCTGGTCACGTGGCTTGCGGTCGGGGACTGTTCGATAATTTCATGATCAGCGGGAGGGAGGAAGGGTGGCAGAAAAACGCAATCTACCGCACAAAAACAGCAAACTTTTGTATTTGTAACATCAAACATAAATGATTTCCTTTCTTAAATAATTTATTATAAATAAGCAGCAATATCACAGACACTTTTGATACAGTCGTCAAACCAGGGATTTCACACAACGGTATCACGTTACCTGCAGCACGCACCTTCAAGTCGCCGGCAGTGTCTACTAAGTGACAGGACGACTGGGGAATTTTCTCTTCTCTTGGCTTGGTTTCCGAAGATGACTGGTACTAGAACATGTACTAGAACCGGCAAAAGGGCGCCGGTCAAATACTTATGTTTATTGATTTATTTATTAGCACATAAGTTTTACAAATTATTACAGTTATACAGTTATATTAAATGAAAATATAAATAACAATGAAGAAGTAATGAGAAAGATAATAAACAAGTACAGGGGATTCCACTTATTTGTATTTCTTTTATTTGTATATTTCGGGTATCTGTATAGAATTCTAAAACACCAAACCATTTACCATTGATTTCACATAATTGTAAAAACAATGCATAATGTATAGCGCATTATCGTATATTCCGACGTATCGTATAGAATTTGGTCCGATTCTATCGTATGATATCAAGAAAAAATACGTTAAGAGTCAGCAAGGATCGTATGAAATGTTTGTGTAAAGCCACTAAACCATCAAAATTAACGAAATTGTCTGTTTCGGGCCACAAAGAATGCCGGCAAGCGAGCGGTAGTCGGCGGCTCCGGCGGTAGTCGGAACTACAAAGCACCGCCCGCAAGTGATCGAGCGGCGCGGGAGGGGAGTGGGCACTGCAAAGGAACACGCACGGCTTATGATTGACTATCAAGAGTTTTTGATTTCCTTTGTTGAAGTTTAAGCAGACAACTTACTCTACTCAATAAAAACGGTGTTACCTCTACTACTACTAGTAGTATCTTCTGTCTCATTCTTTTTCTGTCTCATTCTTTTTGAGTTCATGTCCGAGTGCGTCACGTCACAATAAAAAATGTAACAATACGGTGAACCCAAATAAATAGGTTATAGATTGGCTACAAGCAGATGAAAATATAACAAATCAATAAATCAATCAACACGATGGTCAGATTTGGGCCCAAAAGTCCCACTCTGCTACTATGGAGATCGAATCCCCCGAACTCGCGAATCTTGTTCGATATGACGTCATTCGAATAGAGCGGGCGTTCGATCCGGGGTTACCCGCGGTCATTTACAGTAAAGTCGCTACAACCGGCTACTTCAAGCCTTTTTTTTTACTTGGGAACCACGGAACAGAAAAAATCCACCTTTCCACAAATATGAACCGTTTTCAAAATATTACATCTATGCCGTGATTTTATTGTGGATATGTAACATGTAACGAAGCTACTGCCGTCATCGTGGGCGACCTTGAAGGTCAGAATTCTTGTTTACGCTGTTATAAAATCCAGGTCCCCATATCCAAGTGTCATAGCACGCGTGCAAACATGGTATTTTAACCACTCCCAAAAATCGTTCAAATTACCTCATTGAGGGCTTGTTTGGAAGAGCAACGATTTCCGCAGATTTCTGTCTTAGGGATTTTTAAATATGGCCGCGATTATGAATTATCGGTATTTAAAGTTGAAAAACTGCGTTTTTAGCTCTTTTTTTGGCTGTAATTCGAGTTTTAGTTAAAGATTTAAAAAATCCTACGACAGAAAGTTTACCTTTACTGTAATATTTCTAAAAATAAAAAATA